AAATTCTCTTCTCATTATTTATGTTAAACCGACTATAGATATTTATGTCGAAGTATGTGAAAAAGAAACATCTTAAACTAGTGTTTATGGGCTGAGTTGCATCCCCCGAGTGTCTAAGTCCTAGCTCCCAGCGCCTCAGAAAGTGACTGCGTTTGGGGATAGGGTCTCTAAAAAGGTGAGGAAGTTAAAATGAGGCCTTTAGCGTGGGCCCTGATCTTAGGAGGAGAGATTGGGACACAGGCAGAGGGAAGAGCATGTGAAGACAGGGGCCTCCAGAAGAAACAAGCCCTGCCCACACCTCGATCTCGGACTGGGAGACAATAAACATCTGTCACTGAAGCCCCGGGGCCGTGGTGCTTGGTTCCAGCGCCCCAGCAAGCTCATCCAGTGCTGTTCTCCTTTTGGATTCCTTAATAAAAAAAACTCCAAGATTTAGTTTATATTAACTTCAACTCAGAAGTAGTTGGCTTGGAATGACTTTCCTAGGAACCTTGTCAAGAAGGTGAGGGACTTAGTGATAAGACTAGTCTCATATAACAAAGAAGATCCTCAGTATCTAAAATGCCAGACATTTAAAAAGATGGTCTGTTTTAAGCCACAGAACATTTATGTGGATCACTGCGGCAGCTTGCTCTGGAGCAGATTCCATCTTCATTCTCAGCTGTTGCAGGTTGGAGCTTGTGTAATGGTCCAGAAAAGGAACAAGCTTTTGAAGGATCCTTTGTTCTTCATTCCAGTGTCAAGTTTAAAGGCGTAGAAGTATGGAAAATGACCTCAGAGATGATGTCCAAATATGTTTACTCAAGAGGGGACAATCCCCGAGATTAAGATGTTGGCCTTACTTCTGAACCTGCACTGGAACTCAGGCCCCCATTCTAGTCATGCCCCTGCTTGTCCCGCTGCTGCGGGGGCGTTCATCATGACCTTGTAAGTCCAGACAAAATGGGGGGCACCATGTGGGGCATGGGACAACCTTTCAGTTGTGAATCTTGGGAAATTAAAACCAAGGCTGCCTCTCCACAACATATCACTTGAGGACCTTGACCTGGGTGGGTTGCAGTGTTTTCACTGGCCTCTTCAGTGGAACTAATATTGTTAAGAAGTGGCATTTATTTGAAAATTAGCTGTCTGTGCAATAGGCCCAGAAGTACTTCCTGCCTCTGGCTGTCCGTGAGTTGTAGGAGTCGAGAGTCACTGAGCACCAGTAAAGTGCCCGTGTGGACTGGATGGCTACTGTGAACCTATTCAGTGATTTGAAATTGTGAATGCAACCTGCATAAGATATTTTAAAATATCTTTTATTGTTTTTAAGTACAAAGTGAAAAAATTAAATTTTTCCAATCACCCACTATAAGTAATTGTTTTCTCGATTTTTGCATATAGCCCAATTTAAGTTTGTGTGTGTGTGAGCTACCCTTTCAAAGAACAGTCACACACAAGCATTTTTTCATTCTTTCAGCTTATACATTCTACTCATAGGTGTGAGTTACATGACTCTGTAAAGATATGAGTAGTTACTCCTGTTTATTAACAAGGTGCTATTAATAACCTCCTTGGCTATGTATTCCTTAATAACCCCTTTAGAACTTAGGAGGTAATTTTTTTTGGCTTTTGTGTGTGTGTGTGTGTGTGTATATATGTGTATATGTATATTTTTTTTCTATTTTATTGAGTTATAGTCAGTTTACAGTGTGCCAATTTCTCGTGTACAACTAATGCTTCAGTCATCCATGAACATACATACATTTTCATATTTTTCACCATAAATTACTGTAAGATATTGAATATAGTTCCCTGTGCTATGCAGTATGAACTTATTTATTTTATATATATTAGTATCTGCAAATCTCCAACTCTTAATTTATCCCTTCCCACCCCCTTCCCCCCCGCCCCACCTTGGTAACCATAAGTTTGTTTTCTATGTCTGTGAATCTATTTCTGTTTTATAAATAAGTTTGTCTTTTTTCTTTTTTTAGATTCCATGTATAAGTGATATGTGGTATTTTTCTTTCTCTTTCTGGCTTGCTTCACTTAGAATGACAATCTCCATCCATGTTGCTGCAGATGGCATTATTGTATTCTTTTTATGGCTGAGTAGTATTCCACTGTATATATATACCACAACTTCTTTATCCAGTCCTCTGTCAGTGGACATTTAGATTGTTTCCATGTCTTTGCTATTGTAAATAGTGCTGCTATGAACACTGGGGTGCATGTATCTTTTTGAACTCAGATTCCCTCTGGATATATGCTCAGAAGTGGGATTGCTGGATCATATGGTAAGTCTGTTTTTAGTCTTTTGAGGAATCTCCATACTGTTAGATTGTCGAGGTTTATCTCATTGTTCATTCTTTCAGGGGACTTCTCTTGTTCTTTTAATTGGGAGTGGTTCCTCTGCATCATTTTACTTATATTTCTCTGGCTTTATGGATTTAGGAGTATCAGTATTACTGTGGTCTTGAAGGGCTGTTCTCTTTGTTTTTATTTAAAGTGGGAGTGTTCCTGCGTAGACTGTGTGTCTAATAGTTTTGTTGCGAGGGCTTTTCTTAGTGTGGATGGTTGCTACGGCTGTCTTCATGAGTGCTGGCTGTTATCGCTTTGGGGATGTGTCTGGTGTTGTGATCAGAACCCGCCCTGATTGCCGCTGTTGAGTGGGGCCTCCTGTTTTGTTCTGTGCTTGTCACAGCCTTGACAAGAGGCTGGGTCTGCCCCACTGTTGCTGGAAGAGAGGGTTCTAGACCCATTTCTGAGCTGTGGGGTGTGGTAGGCAGGGTTAGAGCGCTTCAGCTGGGAGGAAGAGTTGCTGAGTGTACGTCCGCAGATGTCCACTGGGAAGTGCCCTCTGTGGTGTTGTCTGTCACTTGTTATGCAGGCTTACAAAGGACTCTGTTGACACTGCTTTCGTCCCTGCCTTAACTGCTGGAATGTCAGCCACCCTTTGGTGTCCCTCAGGTTCTGGGCCCCCAGAACCACTGGCACAGATCCGCCAGTGTCAGGTTCTAGGATCTGCCGTAGCATGAAGTCACACACCTGGATCTGTGGTGCGCCACAGGTCAGCACAGATCCCAGCCCTGCCTCCACGCACAGGATGGTAGGCCGGCCTGCTGTAAATCCTGCTATGTGCCAAAACCCTGCTTACTACCTGTCCCAGAGGCACAGGTTCACAAAGGCACCAGCAGAGCAAAGCCACCTGCTCTGCCAGAGGCTGTATACAAACCTCAGTGCCACCTGTGAAGCTGCCTGGCCCCTGGGTTTTCAACCCCGCCTCCAGGCAGCATGGCCCAGCCCCACCTCTCTTCTCGAGAGAACAGAGCAACAGTGGAGCCACGTGCAGCTCTGGCGAGGAGGTAATTATTTTATATTCATTTTTAGAATGTTATTTTAAAGTTAATTCGTCCTTCCATGATGATGGCATAAAAATTTGGAATATATGGAAAACGAAGAAATTCTTGAATCACCATTGTTCCACCACCAGGGAACCGTTTGGATACATTTATTTTGAATCTTCAACTTTAATCTTTTCTTACACCAGAAATCCACCAATGTGTTCCTTTAAAAATTCAGCCATGACAGCTCAAGCTCGAGTCTTTTTAACCACCACTCCCCTCCTTCCTCGCAGTCACCTGCTGTTTAGTGTTGGGTGGGCATCATTCCAGCATATAAGGGGTCCACCTGGGCTGTGTCCAGGCTCAGGTTATGAACACTCAGTTAAACGTGTCACCACGTGACTAGCACAGTTACTGCTCAGTCTTTATGTGACTTATTTTTGTTACATTTCTGTATAGTTATATTCCTGAATTTGGTAAATATTGAAGATAGCCCAAAATAGCTCCCTCTTGCCAATGTTAGGTAGTGGATTAACCTGAGAAAAAATTAGTTTTCAGGGCAAACTTCTGCTGTCCCCTCACTGCTCAGCACAGGCACAGCCACACCCATTACTGAGTGGCGTCGTGGACCACAAGGCCAGAAGCCCTTAGAACCACAGGCCTCAGGCTTCCCTGCAGGTGCTGGCGGGTGTGCAGCGTGTGCACACGGCCTGGCTCCACCGTGGTGCGTTGCTCCTCAGGAGTTCATCGCACAGAAACCAGCCTGGTTTCCATCCTGACCATGCTGGCTCAGCCAGCCTCTCGAAGCCTCACTTTTCTTACCTGTAACCTAGACATAATAGCACAGGTGTCACAGGGTGGGTATGAGGGTTAAATAACAGCACATGCTCAGAGTGACGGCTGCCATTAATTTTGGTCCTGGTGAGGGTGGTGATTGGGGCTTGCTTGAGAGGTGTCAACAGGGCGTTTGTTATGAGTGTTCTCCACCCTCCCTGTGTCCCCGCCCCACTTCAGCCTGCCTTGCGGGTCCTGATTCCTGAAACTCCTGCATCTTCTGTTCCCCAGTCCCCCCAGGTCCCCCACCCTGATACACTTATCTCATAAGCCTGCAGCTGTTTCGTCACCTTGTCTTCATGAACT